GTTCCCGATCGGTCGAGAATCACGCATTAAAAGGGAACACGTGGCCTATCGTTAAGCCAGAATGCACGGCCACGTGGCTGGACACAATGAATCGTCGTTTACCACGGTGCGGAAAAATTCATGAGCCGAAAAAACTGTCTATCTACCCTATTGAGGATTTCCTCTTTCTCTCTCTATCCTTCTTTCTTCCTCTACATTAAATGGAATACCAGTGATGTAAGCAACGAGCGTAATCGATTGAAATCTAGTTATCGATAAAAACGGTGAAAGAAAGGGAACCATCCAACGGTGAACGATAACATTGTGATAAAATTTCGTCCGAGAACTCGCGTCGTGATTTATGCAAAGCCGTCAACGCGATAGAGTTTCTCCCTTTGGCAGAAGTGTCGCCCAACTGGGACACAAGTAGCGTGTCATTAAAAGTTAGCGGGTCGATCAAAAAAAAAAAAAAAAAAAAAAAAAAAGACTTCGAACGTTAGAAAAGTAATGACGAATAACGACGAATTCTCTGTCGATAAATTTTGCTATAAATACTCTACGATTTTCTGTCGGATGCCTCAAAGTCTGAACTAATTGTAAGCTGATAAGTTTCATTCTTGTAAAAATGTCTGATAGATAAGTCGAAAGACCTTTCACCCTCCGAGAGCGAGAAGCGAGATTCGAGAAACGTTTCGCAACTGCACTAAAACTGTTAACTAACGCGTCGCTAATTATCATTATCGTTACGTCACAAGTGCTCCCGATTACGATCGCGACTCGATACGACTCTGGTAATGGAATCGATCCAGATAATTTCAATGGTCTCCCTTTACCGTAAGCAACCGTATAAAAATTTACACGTTACCCCCTCTCGCGAAACACCGAAACAGACGAACTAAAAATTCTATGTAAATGAAATTGCGCAAGATCGTGTCCGCGCTGGTACTTTAATTTTTATTACGAAATTAATAATGCCAAGCCCACGGCGTGTGTTTATCTGGATACTGCGCGAGTGAAATTTGATACGCGAGGCGAGTGCGTACCATCGTTCCCAAAGGGGAAGTGCTTTTCTTATTCCTCGTCGTAAGAATTCCGAACGGTATTATACCGATCTCGAGATGGTATCGTGACTAATATGTTCGCGGCGACAAATGTAAGTCCAGCGCCGCGGGTCCCGTATCCGTGGTCTGCGAAGCTTAATCAAGCGGTTTATTAATTCAACGCACGCTGTTATTAATTCCGCCGTCTGCGCGAGGAATCAATTCGAGTGTTCGAAAGTATGGAAATCAGCGGGGAACTCATTAACGATTCTGATAGCGAAGTTACACGTGTGGCGAGTAACTTGTAATTTGTTACGAAAAATATATAAAAATATATAAAAATATATCGGCGTGGCAAGTTTAAATAAAAGGAACTCCGAATCGCGAGATCGATTCACTCGCAGAGCCTTTATATTAGATCATCCCAATGAGTACAGTACGCAATCGTGATCGTTGGTATACTAGACGAAAATAAGAAATTACTCAACGAATAACAAACGAATTATTTTCCATACTTTTTATAATTTATTAAAACCTTGCGTTACAATTTTGTAAAATCCCTAAAGACAATGACACTTTCGTTAATTTATTTGAACTCGGTAGAAGACGAATACAAGGAATTAGTTGTTGAAAATCGACTAACTAGCGGCTAACAAACTTTTCATTCCAGGTTCATAAAACTTATGCTACACAGTATAACTTTGAACACAGTTCGCAGGATAGCCTGATACGTAGATATGATATCATTGACAGGCGATAGATTACCGGCCATTGATCGCTACGTACAAAGAAATCGATTATACGACCTTGCGAGTAACACGTATGGATATTCGCAAGAATGTGTGCGCGCATGAAACGCCGGTCCCGGCAAACTATAACACAACTGGGTAACTCTAGATCCTAGATGAGCGGTGAGATTAGCGCAGGAGCAGGAAGAGACCTGTTGTTGGAAACGTAAACTGAGATTGGAATCGGTCTGTCGACAGTTCGGAGGAGCCACTTGCTCCAAAATTTCTGATCCCGGCGCGATGCACTTTCGGTTGCATCCACGGTACCATATACGGACAACCACCGCGTATAACGTAAAATTTCCGCTTCGATTCGAACGAGACCTCTGTATCTATCGTTCATCGCGTTCACAGTTTCCAAGGGGAGCAACTCGACGTACGATTTCCAAAGAATAGCGACGGCATAAAGAAAAAGAGTTGAGAGCGAGTTCCTGGGAAACAGGTAACTCGATAGCGCGACAAAGAAACGTACGGGCAAAGTATGGGCAAACGTGCTGCGCTAGGTAGATAGGTGCAAGTGATTTTCAAAGGACGAGCCAGGTGGTTGCACTACTTTCACTGTTTCCAGAGGTCTGGCGGTGGCAGGGTAGGTCGTTCGATTGAGCGACCACGCGCGTTTCCACAGGGCCGACGACGAGTATCGCTTTGTAACACTTTCACGATGCAATTACGCGCTGGTGTGCGCAGAATGTTCCACGGACTTGCTCCGGACTGGATCGTAACGCGGCGCGGCGCGGCATATCTAACAACTCGGTGCTTGAACGCGTACACAGGCTCGACCATGATAGCCGCGCGCTACGCACGTCTCTAATAATACCAGTAATCATAATTAATCGCTCGAATCCTCTCGATGCCTGGAGAGGAGGTTGCTTCCACCGACGCCAACGTTCAACGTTACGCGCGTGAGTATGTGTATAACTAGGCGAGCGAAACGGAGACGAGATTCTTTGTACACGTAATAAGGCTCGCTCCTCTGGTTGGCCGTGTTCTTGCCAGATTCTTGGCGCAGACGGTCGTTTTCGTCTAACGGTTCGACGATTATCGGGCAGATCTGACGGGCAGCGGATGGTGCTACCAGCGTGAAGACAAACATCGGGAATCCGTTCTCACCGCGTCTTTGGGAGCGCGAAAGGAAAGAGGGACACACGCGCCGGTACCGGGAGAGCAAGAAACGTTATGTACCACGTATTAGCGGCTTTCAGACGGAACTCGAAATCGAGGCTAATTACCACGAGTGTCTCCGGCAGGACTTTGTACGCCAGAAAATGAAATTATGCTGAAAACGTCTGTCGATCACGACGTTGGGTTACACGCGTATCCTGGCACAGTCCTCCACATCACGTACTCTCGCGCGATGCTGCGAAACGCAAGATTATGCAAATTAACCGCGCTTCGGCGTACAAAGTAGCGTCTCGAGCTAATTGTTAACTGGCGATTGTTAATTAAACGATTCGTAGGCTCGCCTGTAATCGGCGTAACGCGAGTGCATGCTTGGGAAGGACAAAAAGCAGGATTTCTAGAATTTTGTCACGCCCGGAGACGTGACGAGTTCGATAAGCGGAGGTCGAGCACGTTGGGAACCAGGAGCTACCTGTGCCAACAGGTAGACAGACCGTAGGGGCTGCTGGTATTATTGTTCAACTGCCTGTCGTAAAAGTTACCATTCTACCTGGTCAACCTCAGAACATAAACCATTTTTCACCTCGCCAAAATTCGGTTACGCTATAACTATCTTCCTTGTGAAAGAGTAGTGTTATTGCAGCAAAGAACTGACTTGGTTAACTGTGAAACTAAAGGAACGACAACTCCAAAACTTGAGAAATTCGAGAAAATCTCTTATACCACCGTGATTCTTAAGTCTATCATAGAAAATATATAGTAGAACTCCACTTATAGTTGGAACCAGTTAAGCACGTATAATAATTCATTCTCCACACGTTTAAGTAAATTGATTCAAGAGCACTATCTAGAATTTCGCACGAGTTCACCTAAACGGAGTTTTCCTACATGCATATACATGCACGACAAGTAGAAATTTTAAGTTTTTCGACAATTTTTGCAGTTACGAAACACGGTATGCAATTACGAAATTTTGCAGTAACGAAACTTCTATTTACAATGAGATCTTGTTGCGGAGCAACATCGCAAAGCTGGCGGCGCAACTTCATCGCGGTTTAACTGGTGGTTCAATTCGCGATTCTTCGATTTCGAATGCGAGTTCGATCCGCCGTGTAATCAATTGGCGACTCTTTGTTCGCGAGATTACGCAGGATATCCCGTTGTTCAGCGGACACGAAGCACCTTTCTTCTCGTCTACCTTCTAGGAGGGCACATGATCCGTCATGACCGGTGTTTGCCCGCGCAAAATATTTGCACGAGGAGGCGAGCTCAAACACACCGGCTCACCGATGGCCTGTCATTTTCCGAGTAGTACATGTATGTATATAGCTCCGCGCGCGTACGAGCGAACCGCGTTTGGCACGTTTAGGCGCGTGCGAAAGCGCGTGTGTACACAGTCGACTGTGCACACACGCGTTACCTATGTACACATTGGCTAGCTTCGTATGTACGTGCGTCACTCAAAACTTTCAAATAGTGCCAGCGACCCCCAAAACCCTTTCAGGATTTATTTGCGTAATTATGAAATCGTCAATACACGCTGTGCAGTTTCCGTCGAGGTACAACCGGTCAAAAATTGTAGCTTAGAAAGAGAAGGACAGAAAAAAAAGAAAGAAGGAAATAAAGGAAAGAGAAAGTAAAAGAGACTTTCGACATAACCGGACTTGGATCGCTATTGTAAAATCGGACTCGCTGGTCGCTACTTCTTGCGTCGGAGAAGGTAACGCGAATCAAATGGCAAACCTGTTCGAATGGAATCTACGCTCCTGACACAGCTCGTTCCGAGGTTCAACGAATCAATGCCTTTCACTGCGAACGTTAATATCTGGTGTCGCAAGTGGCGGATAACAAACGGAAAACGAACATTTCCCTTCGTGTAGCGTCGAACCGCGATTTATCGTGACGCGATTTACAACTCGCAATACACGTAGCGATCGTAAACGTGTCTTCGACAAAATGAATTTTCGATTTCCAATGCAATTCCAATGTTCCGATTTTGTGCGTTTACGTACTGCACGACGCATTGCTCGCGAGGATTTTATAAATTAATATATAGTGCATCGTATTTACTCACCTCAGGAGCGTTGTCGAATATTTGGTGCTTGTTGCTCAATCGAAATTCCCCTGGAAGAATGCGGCGGATGTGGAAGATTGTCCTCCGACAAAGTAAAGTGTCTTGGTCGCGAACTCGTGGCTGGCGGCGATGTAGCGTTTCGATTCACAGAGAAAAACGATCGGAACGTGTTAAAACGAATGAAACGAAGCAAGAGGGTTGGGCGGAGAGGGGAAGCGATGCCGCGAAATGTTCGCTGCTCAAAAACGTCGCGACTGGCGTCGACGCGATTCCGTCGTTAAATTGTTTGTCATGGTCGATAGAGGTACACGGACGAAAGCAAGCGCCATTTTATCCCGTGCACTCGCGGCAACGCGAAAGGTGGATGGACGGTGTAGCGCGGCGACGGCTACGATGGCAGAGGTATACTCTCCCCTGACAATTCACCGAACCGCGTTCTAACTAAAATCGATCCGATTACCAGATTTTTCTCGCCGTTGAACCGTGCCTGGTTCAACGAGTCGTACACGACGCGAACGATGTATATTTGCACACTCCTCTGGTTCACCACTTTTCCCTTTATTTCTGCTTTCCTTTTTTTCTCTTTCCTCTTCTTTTCTTACACAAGTCACTACGAAACTTTATCGTTGGTCGGAGCACTTACGACCTCGTGTGTCGTTCTCGCGAGACACGCGTTCCGCTCTGTTTCTCAGCTTGCAACACAGTTTTTCGTTTACACGCGAATCACTGAATTACGTGTTCCACGCTGATTCGGTGGCGAATAACAGTCAGTTTTTTTTTTTCTTCTCTCCCTTGAACAGAGGACACGAGACGCGTCGCGGATTAGAGCACGTCCACCGTGTGCTGCGAGAGAACACGAACTAACGCGGCGAGCCGAGACGAGCCGAGGTCGCTCGGCTAGTTTCACCGAACCGCTATTCGGCCGGTTTACAGCAGCGCCGCCACCGGGGCTGCACCCTTACCGTCCATTTTCCTCGATCGCTTCTGTCTCATTCCTAACTGAAATTTCCGCCTCGATCGCACTCCGATCGGTGCTGCGATCGTCCCACGTTTTCCTTCGTGCTGTTCCCTGATTTTATTCTTCAATCTTCTTAGCTCGTTGAGAAAAAGATGTGAGCAGACTCACGACCGAGCGGGGTCATTGATTTTTTGAGCCCGTCAAGTGTAAGCCGCGCGCATGCGCAATCGCGCCGGCGGTATGACAGCGGGCGTTCTCATACACATCCGCAAAGTTCCGGACTTGAATTCCTGGTGACTTTAGTCGACGGCGACCACGACGAAACATCGTTTAAAATTTGCCTCGTTCCCCTTTGTCGTCTACCTTCTCCTTTTTTCGGGAACTTGGTAATCGAACCGCTCCCTCGCCGTATACAGAAGCCATAGATCTTCTAACCTGGGCGACCTGTACGATTTAAAAATCGCAAAAAATGATGTAATTATCTTTACTCGTACAGAAAATATATTCGTGAATGCAAACCTCGACAACGTAAATGATGTTTTGTCATAAATGACACGCAATGCTTGATCACTTACTTGTAATTGTCTAATTAATTAGCCACGCGACGAATCCGTTGCTCTTTCGAAAATCAGCCATCCACTGTCACGTGATCTGTTGCAATGCAAACTGGGTAATTTCTTGCAACTTGAAATCACGTGATCGATTCCTATGCATCATGGGTAATTTATTGCAACTTTGGTTTTCTAGAACTTGTCGATCACGTGATCGATTCGAAATGCATCATGGGTAATTTATTGCAACTTTGATTGTTGCAAGCGTATTCATCATCGGTCGGGCTGTCGCTGTCAATGTTTTCGTTACCGAATTAAAATCCGTGTTTGTTCCCACCGTGTTATTTACGAATACTGCTAGTATGTGAGAGTGTTTCATTTAGAGTGTCTACAACTGATGCAAATTGTTTTTATTGAGATATTGAAAACTGTAGACGACTAACAGAATGCTTCGTAAATGCTTCATTTTCTATGTAAGTATTTCTATGTAAATATTTGCGTTTATATAAAGAATTTAATTATGAGATATAAAAATATCTATATAAAAAAATATCATTTATATAATAAAAATATCATTTTATGATCAGTGAGAATTGATCCGTCATTCAATGCGACAAAAGATTACGCGCGGGAATGAAACAACACTCCAAGAGCAAGTTTACCTGGCCAAGCTTGTTATCTCGCCAATGTTGTACATATTTTTATCTCATCGACCACAAATTCCCAGAATTGGATAACAACTGCAGTTCATCCGACGCGAATCTACTGTATGATTGTTATTGGTAAGTGCGACCTTTTTTTTGTAATATTTTTGTATGGCAATGTATACGCAGCTGTTGTCATCACATAAAACAAGTCGTGAAAACATTCTTTCCAATAGTTTCTTATTTCATCAGCACTGTACACGACAAGATCTAACCACATTATTATATTATATTAGTAAAATTTAAAACAATAACATATTACATTAAAACTACAGGACAGGAAATTAATTTATATAAATGACATTAACGAAACACGGAGAATATTCAGAGAAGAAATAGGAAGTTCAATGGACGATAGAATTATTGGCAGTTGATAGAAAGATAAGAGGATTAAGAGCGTAGGACAAAATCAAGCGGAAAATGATTGGAATTGTTCGCAAACGAACTTTCGTTGGCGGATTGCGAAGGCAAAACTGTCTATCGGTTCGTTTGGAAGCCCAGTGACGAGGTAATCGGTCGACCGATCAAGATTCTCCGTTCGCCTTTCTATGTCGCCGCGGTGAAGAGCATAGACGGACGGCTATTTCCGCATGACATCACACCGCCCGCATTTAGGAGCACGATTTTCTATTTTCTTGTCGGTCTACATTGGTGGCCCGTGAAGACTTGCAAGGTCAGCCCCACCGAGATGCGCCCGAGAACACACTTTTTTATTCCCTTTCTTTTCTTTTCGTCTCGTCTCGCGTCCCTCTGGTCTTCGTCGCGTCACTGTTACATCTTTCCACACGCTGATTCGCAAAAACGTCTTATTAAAGCCGGTGTGTTGTGCTGCGAAATTTCCACGATTAGGCAGGCCGCATTGCCGCAGTGGCACACGTGTTGTTTCTTCTCGTCTTCTGTAATAGAGGCTGGCAATCTGGCCTTGTTCCACGCAATAGCCAACGATCTCGCCTAATCGAGAAATAATTGTACGAATTTGTTCGAGGGCCGGCGAACGGTACAGAAAAGAAATCCTTGCATTCTCGTTCGCCTGCTGCCTCTCGGAGCTGTTTTTTTTTTTTTCTTTTTCCTTTTTACCAATTCATTACTCTCAGATGAAACAATGGATTCGGCGAGACAAAGGAGCGGCTGCTCTTGCTTGGCACCAGTACCGTTTCTCGCGCTAACAAACTTAGCCGTTCGTTTGCGGAATTAGAAATGAACGTCCGCGTGAAAAGAAAATTCGTGACCGCTGCCTTTAGCCGTGGATTTAGAATTGCCTGTGGAATTGTCTTCCGGTCTAACCAGAAGGATTAACGAAGAATAATTTTTAACTCACATTTCAATCTATGTGGTCTATGGAATATTAAAAATTCTAATTTACGTATGCAATATCGAATCTTTACTACACTGTCCAAATGAATGTTGCGTACTGTAAACTTATTCGTTCGATTGTTTAGAGAGTTTATATCTGAGTTCAACCGGTGTTCATTATCCGAGACGATCTTTTGATCGATATGTCCTGCTAATAACGTAGGTCCACGCGATTACAGAAGAGGATTTCTGCGTGAATAGTTGCATAATCACGGGTTATGAGCTTCATTACGTTCTTCATACGGTTGAGTCTATTATATATTTCGCAACGCGATTCATTTCATCGTATTTATCGATTTGAAGGTATCTGGTTTGATCTACTTAAGAAATTCTTTCTTTTCTTTTCACCTTTAATCGAACTTGAATGAGGTTTGATCGTTTGCTCTCGTTTATTGCACGATCCTGGCGTGTCAGTGTCAGCAATTTCAGAGGAAGACTCACGACCGTTTTCAGGTTCTCAGAAATTCTCTCCAGTCATCGGCGGGAATTTATCGAATTTCTAAGCGGACGCGCGGTGATTAATAAGTTTTTACGCGCATTACACCTGATCCCGTGGCAAATCGATTTCCGTCCCTCGTTCTTATTGTGTACGAGTATTACCTTTATGATTGTCTCACGAATTGACTTCTGTTCTTCATCCCCGCTGGAAATTCTCGGCATCTTCTACGCTATTACATTGAAAAATCAACATCTCTCGCTCCTTCCGTCGTAAACACGCGAGTAGGAAGAAATAATGGTACGTAGATATGTGTACGACAGACGAGAAGATGGAAAAGGGATTTCGGTAACGTAGGAGGACGCAACGAGAAATAAAAAAAAGGAAAGAAACATGTTAAACCAAGGGTCATAAAAATCCGAGACGCAGGTATAAACCAACGATCTACAAGTCCGTGCGAGGACGATTCTAATCTGTACACGTTGTTAGAATAGCAGGAGTCGAAGCTCCGTGACGGAAAGCCGGAGAGAAGCGCTGGAGAAAAATAGTTAGACAATTCAGCTTGTTAGAAAATCAGCGGAATGCAACGCTCGCAGGAACAAAAGGGAAAAGAAAATGGTTCTCATAGGAATTTTTAGAGCACGACATCCACGCTGTCTAAAGTTTTGGTCTTCTTTTAATAGCTTCGAGCTACTTCTGAAATTTTTACAAAGAACTCCACCCTCTCAGTGATATACTAACGACGACTAATTTTATCCCTTTGAAAAATTCTTTTCCGTGGATACAGCGCGGTGGTTAATTCTTCCTTCTTTCTAAAAAAACAGAGGAGCTTTTACATGTCATGCCATTTTTGGGTATCGTGAATGTAGCTCCAGGGTTTCTTGCTCGTTGATTCATGCTTTACACCGACATTTTTATTTGGTCACCGTTGTCAAAAGATATATTCGTCGCGGGGAAGTGACAGTAAAAACAGGCTGGAAACGTTGATCCGTCATACGTGTCTTAGGAGGTAATTAATAGAGGAGGGTTCGGTATGGCTCGTTCGCTCAAGTCATAAATTCTGTGGAAGGTCGGGAGTGAACGACGCATAAATTTCACTTGGACGCGACAAACGCGCGTTCGTACCAGCGCGCGTGATTTCGCGAATTGAACGGTGGGGAGCGTTCGAGCTAATGGTTTCGTAATTGAATAAATGTGGGCGATTAGTCGTGCAGCCACCGAGACGATTAACGAGCTACCGTCTAAATAACCGTTCGGTTTACTGAAAATCGAATTTAGTGTTAATCGGTATTTAATTTAAAATACCGATTAACGCTAACAGATTTATCTTTCTCATCAGTCGCGCGACGATCGGATCTATCCTCGTATTAATTCATAATTCTCGTTAGTCTCGCGGGTGATCTTGGAACATTTCAGAGGTTACTGACTCTTCGAGAGTCTCGCCGGCACACCCTATTATCGAACAAGAGTTTTATTTTTTATATTTAGGCACAGATCGTTGCACGTTGCCCGCGATACAACGACAATACATCTGCGTAACCGAAAAATGAGAGAAGAGTTTCAGTGAAAACAATGGACGTAGAAATAGCGTGTACGGAATGTCTCCGTAACCTTATTTCTTCTTGAATCTAGCCTTCTTCGATACCACCACAGTGTTCGACGGAGACTTTGGATTTGATTGATTTTTATGTTTTTTGCTCTCCATGTGTTGGGCAAACGTACTCTCGGAGTTTAATGATACATTGCACGGTGCACAATAATACTGGCCTGCAAACAAAACAATTTGCTAAAGGATATAACTATCACTGCTACGAGATTACGCGTCGTTTAAAAATGCGAGTAGTCGTCCCTACCTGATGGTGTTCGATAAATAGAATAATCTATAGGTACAGGAATAGTAGGAGTCACCTCGCTCTCGGTAGCTAAAAAATTCATAGGATAAATATTGCCACGAATCAATGTATATCCTTGTTCATAAGTATCGAGAGTTGCATCTCATCAACAAACTGCGGATTTTTATCGTAAGTATCATATATATACAAGTGTCCTGATATTTATAAAGTAGATCACAGGTGAAATACTAACCTGGCTCGGGGACAGGCAACCCGTTCATCCTGAGCATTCGCAAGTGTCTAGCACCACGTTTGTGCGTTTCTAATTGGTCCTGCCGATTAGCCGAAACTCCGCACAGATCGCAACGCAACGGCGTCGGATAAGGAGGTGGTGTGTAGATGGGGCCAGTTGCTGGTGCAGGTACCGTATTGGTACCGTCAGGTACTGCCGGCTGTGCCGGTGTAGATTGCACTTCCGCCTGAAAAGCCGTTCCTATCCCGAATCGGCCGCTGGGATCTATTTGACCGTACTGATTTTGATTTTGCGACTTCTTCGACGGCCTGTAGAATTCAACGCTCTGGTATGACGATCTCGGCTGACACAGCTATCTTTCTAAGAATAATTTGAGACAAGTATACATCTCTGTACCTCGCACGACGTCCGCCGTTCGCTGCTCTAATATGTTTTTTACCAGCGTAGTGTTGTGTCGCATCCGTTTGCGACGTGAACCACGTTTTACAAATCTGCAAGAATCAAATAAGGCTCTGCTTGTGCAACAACGGTTTTTTGTTTCTTGTCTGTCGTTAATTTCATTCGGTAAAGGAAATTCAACTGCTTACATCACAATAGTTTTGCCAGTCGGTGGTCGTGCTACTAACTTGGCCGTCTTCGGTCTTTTGTTTCTTTACGCTTTGATTCAAAAACATAGATACCTTTTTCTGATGTGGCTTACCGTCGTAATGTAACTTAGCTTGTAACGTAGAATTCATCTGAAATCGTTTAATTTTTTATATCAACACACATATTTAGTTGGCATATTTAGTTAAATACGTGTTAGTCAAACAAGCGTGACACGACGTATTCAACGGAGTCTTGTACGTATTTTTATCGGATAAAGTAATCGAGCCTTACAACTGCATTGCACAGATCACATTTCAGCGGTTTCATTAGTGCTGCCAGTTCCCTCTGGGCGCTTGCAACTTTCTCTACGAAATAGAAATATATAAATCAATCTTTAATTAGCTAAACTGCCATAGGAATCTCAAGTCGGATTTTCTCAATGATAATTTGATGTGCATAGTGATGCCATCTATAAGTCGGACAAATTCTTAACTGAAATAAATATATTCCGTTTGCGTCTCGTATGTCGCAAATGTTCTCTAATTACCTGCATCTTGCGCAGGATCGATGAATTCGTTCTTGCGTTTGTAATACTTGTTTTTGGCTTTGTTGGAAACTTGTATCGTCGGCGATACGGCCGCCGTAGCAGCCGCCTTGTAGGTCGTGTTATACCATCGTGCATAAAGGTCCGACGTGTCGGCGTCTGTAGGTATCCACCAGGGAGTAGTTGGTTGTCCAGGCGTTTGTGGCTGCATCGCCGGATGCATGATATAGGATGTTGGCACAGTAATGTTTGGAAACGACGAGGCCGTTGTTTGAATCGTCGTTAAATTTCCCGCTGTTTCGCTGGTCGATAAATCGGTCGTTGTTGCTTTTGTTGCTACAGGTTGCTGTTGCTCCGTCGTAATTGGTAGGTTGTTGCTTTTCGACGTTGTAACTGGAGGTGGAGGTGGTGGAGGTGGTGGCAGAATACATTCTAGTCCTGTATTACACACACAAATGGAAAATTTATTTCAACAATAACGAAAACTTTTGTGGACGGTTCATAAAACGAAATGCTGAAAGAACTTTCGTTAATTGTTGGATTTATGGCGTTAATAAAATGACTGAACGATTTTAAGCACGTTTCAGACACGCATAAAAATGTGCGAATAAAATACACCGAAAATAAAAAGTAATAAAGTTCGAAGAAGAGAGGCGTATCGATGTAATTTGCTCGAAGATCAGATTTAATCGCGTGCCTGGCTGTGACTAATTTCACTAATTTTGAGCAAGACTGCGAACGTAAAACCCGTAATGTTGGTAATTTTTATTTGCAACGTGCAAGATACATTTTCCAAGTAGTTGTGGACGACAGTAAGCGCATTTTACTTATCGAATGAGTGTTGTATGCACTCTACACCTCAGGATCGAATAATCTGCTTTAGTACTGGCGATTAATTTTGTACCATCGAGATAACAGGAATAATATATTGGGCAAATTTGACGAAAAAGTTAGTATCGCGCATAGGAAGTAAAAGTGGATGGTAATGGCCAATGCAATATTCATAAAATATCAGCGATCATATGCTACGCTTAAATGGTAAAGCAAATGTTTATACATGTATTACTGATACTATATTTGATATAGCATAATGCATTTATATTTGTATCGCCATTTAATTAATTACGATTTATCGATAAATTTCGATTCCATTCATAAATTTTGCATTTTCGCACAAAAACGACAGAGGTGTGTCACACCGTTGCATTGGTATGTACGTGTTTGTTATTTTATATTTTAAGCTGTCAGCTGATTTCGACAGTGAAATACTAAATTTTTTTTGACAGTGAGCACAGAAGTATTCGACAGTTAACTCATCTTTCTATTTCACGTGTCCGATAGAGTGCAACACGGGTGTGCTTTGAGTAATTGTTTTGATAATTGACTGATATAGACATATCAAAAGTCACATCCGGTTATTTGTAATAGAATCCGTTATACTATACAGCGTATGATGCATGTGTCTACAGTGACGTTGTTCTATTCGTAAAAAATGTTTTGTTATAAATGTATCAATGTCAACGTGTCGAATGTTGGGTACATATTTTCAACGTTCGATATGTTCGGGAGATTCACACAAGTTTGCATATTTTCGATACACTAGATTCACTAGGGCATATGCCTCTACAACGTGAATCAATGAGGAAAATTCTTTCCTAGGATAGGAACTCACCCGGTATTTCTGGATTTTCGATGATCTTCGCACTAGACATTTTGCAGCGTAAATACCGCGATATTCTCTATTATTGTTAGAGAAAACTTGACGGCGCGCGATAATTACGGCGCGATAAGAAAGCTCGTTTTCGTTCGCTTCACACTCGCGAATTAGTTTTCTGTCTGTAGTTTTACATTTCGCACGATTCGTTGGAACATGGTATCATTACGATTCATGTATTATGGTTGACTGTCAATTATTCAATGAAATACAAAAGTTTGTGAGGTTAATAGGCGAGTTTGACAAGCGACCCGACGACATTACGCGATATTGAACTGTGATGCAAGATGGCTGCTAACACTACGTTCGTCGGTCGTGGACTATCCAAAATTATTCGAATTGCCACAGAAAACAGAATTTTTTATGGCCAACTTGTTAAAAGTCGTTTAGTCTGGAAGGATGGAGGAAAAGGCTGAGCTTCTAGCATGTCTCGAGGAAAAAATAGAGAGTGGCAAAGCCACGATAGACCGACTGAAACTTGTGACAAAGATTGACGGGATTGAAAAACTTATACGAAAGATTCAACAAGAAATTAGATTTTTAGAAAAGGTATGTCACTTTGAAGTTACAATTAAAATTTCATTCATTGATATAGGTGTATTTTTCACATGAAGTTGGGTACTAATTATATGTATCTATAATTGGGCAAGTTGTAAAACAATTCATTGTAGTTGTTTCTCTTAATCTTGTTGATTATAAATATGAAAGGTTGTTGAACTGTTTTATATTTTTAAATTAAAAAAATCAGGATTATAACTATATACTATTCTCAATAAAGGTACAATCTACAGAGAATGTAAAGAAAGAACATCTACAAAGTACAAATTTGATTCATTTGAATGCGATTGTAGCACGACTTTTTTGTGCTAATGAACCCACCAATATTATGAAACCTTTTAAGTATCAAAAATCACGTTTAGAAGTAGATATTGTATGCGATGGTGGTGCATCATGGATAAAGGTTATCGCTAGAAATGCTAGAGCTCTTACAATGATTTCAATGGGTAACGGAGAATATGGGCAAAAATCTGTGCTTGATCAAGCAATGAGTTACTTGGAATGCGCAAAGTGTTATCCATATTTGTATAGGCCACCTGACGTTATATTCCATTTTGCTTATGGTATAGAAATTCCATTAGCTACACGTTTGGAACATATGGGAGTAATCATTGAAGGAGATAAGATACACTGTGAAGATGTAAAAAATATAGATATACATGGTATTAATGTTTTCTTAATATGGTAAATGCATGAGTATGTATAATACCATTAATTAAGGAATGATATTCATGGTTGTATCTGTTCTTCTGGAGATAGATAGCGAGGACAGATTTTCAACGTGGATGCATTCGTTAGAATCTACTGAGGAACCTTTGGATGAATACAAAAAGAGCATAAAGTCAAATCTAGAAACTTTAAATACATTTTCCCTTAAAACCGAAATAAATGTTCTTAATTTGGATGTGTCAACGTTATTAGCATACGTGACAAATATGACCAATGGATATGATCATTTTATTTATCGTGAACCTTTACTCACACAACAAGCAGAAATGGAGAGAAAACATCCAGTGAAACCAATTTTAGAGAATTTATTCAAGGGAAAGGAACTGATTGTCTGTCAAACTGCTTATGAAAATTTTATGAACATTGTAGATGTTATTGGTGGACCCAAAGAGACTCTTAGGGCAAAAGAATTACTGAATAAAGTTCAAATTGTTAAAGATATATCAACGGGCAGAATAATGGAAAAGCTTAGTCTGGGTGGTAAAATTAAAGATAGATCTAGATTGGTTTTTGCAACGGGGGAAGATATGAAAAGCATTACAGTATCAGCAAATGAGGGGTTTGTTAGAGCAGCACGTATGCAGGTATAAGTATTTATACTATAAAGTATAACAGTTTCAAACAATTCCAGTAATAAATTTTTTCAGGGTATTGAGTGTACAGTCTTTCTGCATGAGCCTAGATCTCTTTCAGAGATTAAAGAAGGTTATGCAACAAAAATAGGTTCATCTTGATACCAGTTAAATACATTTAGATTATTACAAAAGAAATATTCAGGCTACATAAGAAATATTTCTATTTACTATTAGGCTTGGTAATTAACGCGCATGTCCATACTTTCTTCAAATTCTGTAAAAAAAATTAAGTAAAAATTAGTTTTAACAAAAATGTTCCCAATGTAAAAAATGTTGAGTATACCATTAATAAATTTGTTGAAATGTGGATTTCTCTCTTTTGCTAACTGAATATATTCTTTATATTTGATTTCATCTCCAAGTTGTTTATAACATTTAGCACTATTTAGGAGTGCCTTCAAGTTCGTGTTATTAACTTTTAATGCCCATTCGCAATCGGCTAAGGCTTTTTCGAATAATCCAAGCTGAATATATGACAAAGCTCTATTATTCCATAACACAGTCGAATCTTTTCGTTGTTCAAGTGCTTTACTGTAATATGTTACCGCTTTTTCGTAATTTTTCTCCTTAAATGCACCATTACCAATTGTTTTCAATGTTTCTGCACGTTCGTTTCTAATCTTTCGGTTCTCTGTCCTCTCTTTCGCATCTTTTTCCACGCTTCTCATGAACGCTTCTATGTAAGAAAATTTCAATTAGTATGAAAGTGCAGAATACAAGGATGATTATTCGGTACCTTTAGACATTTGTTCTTCAGTAGAATTTTCATTGATTGAACATTTGTTAATCACTGTACGATTCATTTTTATTTTTAATTCAGTATCATCGCATATATTCTTTTCTGATCGTTTCTCTAAAATTTCGTCAGCCAATATTTGTCCGTGCTTTTGTTCTTCAGGATTAGGAGATGCCAACTTTTTCACAATTTTTTCTTAAAAAATTAGAACAAAGTAAAGATTGTGTTCTTAATCCTTAAAAAGAAAATAATACTTACCAACTTCAGTAACGCGATGCATGAAGTTCTGAAATTCTTCTTCCGTTACATGTTTATCAATTGTTAAGTCATCTATAATTTGTTGGCCTTCCGTTATCTTTTTGTTCAAATTACTGTGATCTATTGTCTGATCCATATTCTAAATATTTTTTAATAAAAATAATTAAAAGAGATTGAGCTAATCATGAGAATAACTAGGTTGAAAGGTAATGAAAGGTTTCCATAGAAACATGTAACATAGTAACATAGATTACACATATGTGGAGTGGTTTAGATGATTAAAGAAACATAAACTATTTATTTTCAATTAATTTATTACAAAATGAACAAGATCATGTAAGAAAGTAACAAGATGATGTACTGTCGTTAATTTATATATGTTAAAATTTCATAGCTTTTTCTATTAACACGTTGATCGCTACATTTCTATCCTATTAGATAGAATTACATAAATAATTTGTAACAGTTTTCATTAATATATTTAATATATTAATGCAACATATAAATGCATGTACATATAACATATGTACTTTGTTTTGTAATTATAATTTTCTTCTATAATTTTGTACAATATTAATTGAAAAAATTTAACCTTATAGTCTATTTTGTTAGCTTCGCAGTATGATAATATTCTAAAAAGAAATGAAAAGGAAGAGTTTCAATTTCAATTATGTTGGAGAAATAAATTTATTAATTATAAATTAAACTGAGCCCAAATATATATTGAGCCTTAGAAAAAATAGACAATCAACGTGTTAAAGAAATATTGATAATTGCAAAAAAGTCTTATTCAGTCTAGGTGTTATATTCAAAGAAATATATTAATTTCAAATTTAAGACATGTTTGTTTTATCTTTTAACCATTAGATCCTTTTCTTGAAGGATATTCTGAAAGTGTTCCTGTATTATAATATTTTTGTTCCATGTTTGTAACAGAAAACATTTGCGATGGTCCCATAATAGTCTCTAAATTCTCATTTTCAATTTCTTCAACTTCAAGGGGGTCCATATCCTCATCTTCTTCTACTTCAAATATATCTACTTCATCTTTTATATAAACTGCACACTTCATAGATTCATTGCTTTCTGAATTAGTCCTATGTTTCCTTTTGTCTAAGGGTTCATTTCTTTGATACTCTTGATTACTTATTGATGACTTTCCAGCTGTAATTTCAACTTCATCCATAATACATAGTTTTTTTAAAGGCAAAGATTTATCTTTCGATATAGCAGATAGAACATGAGGCCAACTAATAATAGGTTCAGAAGTGTCTTTTTTCTTTTGAGCTGGTGGATTGGAAATTCCTCTACTGGTGCTTGGCATATCGTTAATGTCTACAATACTGATTCCAGATCTTCCAGTGTCTAAACGTTGACTTAATAAATTAATGTTACCCTCTTCACTTTTCTTGGTAGTTTCTAATGGTACTTTATTCCTATTTTTGTGAAGATGACTAGACGATGGAAACTTTGTCGATTGGCTGTTTGTCTTATTTTGTGGTCTTACATTAGGATCATGCTCAGGTACTGTTTTGGTAGATAAACCTTTCGTTTCTTCAATTTTTATACGAGATACCGTGGTCGTCTTTCTGGATGCATCATGAGGTGTGTTATTCGATTCTCCTACCAAAACAGAAGTTTGAATATGCCGCAATCCAGTGACTTCCAAAATTTCGGCCAACTTTAACAGCCTTCTAACCTCACTTTGGACTACTTGTATTTCACCGCAATACATGAAATTGACGATAGTCTTAAGATCATCTGCTTCAATATCGTGAAGAATAATCATAGGGTGAGGATGATCGTTGGCAACAAGCAAACGACGAAAGAATGAACTCGAGTTGGCCAGTACCATTTTGTGACATTTTAAAATCGTCCCGTCTTTACATACTAAAGAAAGATCTACAAACTGTTGCTTCTCGTAGCATGTATCGAGGGAAACCGCCAAATGCGATGGGAAACTGTGCCACTTTAAACTTAACACTGTCTCTTCCCTCATCTTGAATATTGTAATTGATAGCTTTCGAATTTCACGTAGAACTCACGGTACACGACTTTCGTTTATAACAACACACTCGCCATGACACGTGCCGCTGTCATCGCAACTACGTTTTAGGCAGTTCTACATTCCAACGGACAGAATATTTTTTAACGTATTGAAGACAAATTGGAAACAATGTTGAATTTACAATGATCGATTTAATATCGCGTGCAGAGTACCTTTCATACGATGTAGGTCCGCTTAAAAACGTTGGAATTCTATGCTTTTTGAAGAAAGTTGAGCGGAGATTCTACTTTTTAAAAATAACCCAACAAATCGATTTTCGTCAGTTGACTGTCAGATTTATGTAGAAGGTGAGGAATATATTATTGCCCTAGTTACTTGATCTAAAAATATTTATTCGTTACAAATTTGAGACGGTGCTCGAAATTGCAATCGATTTTTCAGTATATCGGTTAAACGCAAAAATTCAAATTAAATTTAAATAGACACGTCGAACATAATTGTTATCTTTTATTAATTTGTTTTATTGTTCTTTTTTTTGTAGCTAAATTATTTAGAAATAATTGGTTTAAACAGCTGCTGTGCGAAATTTCGTTTTGATTGTCGCGCCAATGGATGTGCACCATAGCGCCACCTCGATGTCTCGAAATCGAAGTGCATTCTGCGATTCTCGATGCCAATTGAGTTCGATAAGTGTAAATGGTCGTTTAATAACAGATGATTGAACGCGTTCCGCGGTGCGGCCTAGCATTTATCTGTCAAAACTGGTGACGACCGGCCGATCGGCAATGAGCCGGCTTATACGTGCCTATTGATCGTTTCGCTCTAAGGTTTTAGGTTATCTGAACGAGTGCTTTGATGAGAGACGTGCGTGTAGATTCCGTGCGTTCAGCATTACGTTTTGCGAGTGGCATACACACATCGACCGTGAGTGTACTTTGAGTAATACTGTTAGTTATTATGTGATCGTGAGTCGTGAGTCGTGAATCGAGAGGAGAAACGCAGAGAGAAACAAAGAGCAAGCGTGGGCATGATCAGGGAAAAAGGAAGGAAAATGCGAGACATTAGAGTTAATGTTTTCTGCTATCTCATCGTGGCACTGCTTTTTCTAGCGCCATTCAATCACGCAGGTAAGCATGGATTCTTCGAAACGATTTGCAGTTCGTTTGCCAGTAAATTGAGCTTCTCTGTATCAAGTGTGATCAAAATTGGTTCGTTTAATCGAACCATTGGGGTCACCCCTGTAAGGCCACAATAGCCTCCTTCCGCTTTTTCTTCGTCTCTCCCTTTACCCCTCTCTCGTTCTCTCTCTTTCTCTCTCTTTCTCTTTCGCGCGCCCACTCATTCTTTCTTTCCATTTCTCTCCAATTCTCTTGTTTCCCGACAGCACGTCCGTGTGTCTCTTTCCTCTCCCGATGCTTATGGTCCAGAAATTGTGCCCCCTCCGGTGTTGTGTTTTTCAGTGCTACAATGTTTCGCCGGATGGAACACGTTTCTCTCGTTTCATATATGCATATGTACATACTTCGTGCTCGATTTTTCAAACATCAATTATCGCACCTTATACCTACACGTACTGTCTCTTCCAATGGAAGATGAATGATTAATGCAGCACGTAGCAGACGCTCGTTATCGCACAATCAATTTGATTCGGTTGTTCGGTAGTTGATATATAATATAGTACTTTTCGTTCTAATTATACGTTTGGCAATTTTTTTTCTTTCCAGGCATTTCCATTTATGTACAAACAAAATATATACGTTGGAGATATGTGTTATCGTCTAGTCAGAAGGTACAAAGGTCGTTCAATATATATATCGCTTGTTCAATGTATAATTGACATGTTTAACACCTTTGTTCGTTTTCCTGGCCAAGACGTACAACGTTCACATCTGTTGAAAGAGATGAGTCAACACGATAAGAAGATGACGTATAGCGTTTAGTATTATTCATTATCAGTGCCAATATCAGTTCCAGTATTAATACTGGTATAAGTACTAGTATTAATACCACTTTTTCATTTTTTACTATTATACACGCACTCGCTCAATTGAAAATGTAACTTTATGCCTCGCATTTCGTTTCATAAGAAATAATAAACGCTCAGTTGACACATAAATGCTCTAGTGGCTGCAATTAGCTTTATTATTAGCGAATGAATAATATTTCGCGACGATTTTGTTACTCATCTTGTATTATTGTCTGACCATGGAATTTATTTTATGCGGAATTTATTATTCATGTGTTTATTGACAGCATTGAATTTTTGCATCATATTCCAATATGTGTTATTATTTCAGACAATAACTATGACTAAGTATTATTTATTATAGCATCTATGTACTCGTTAGTTTTAAATACATATATAGTACATATTATAGTATTTTACTTATACGAAGATTTAACTGTTTGAATATCAAACATGATGAAAAATACTTCATTAAATAATAAGTATACGCGTAAATTTTGTTGGCTTCTCTAATTATGCAATTTTTTTTCAGTCGAGTCTCGTTAGCAACAGGAAGAATAATCGAGTTTCTTGAATAGACGCATACATGCATAACGTAGAATTCAAATGAAAGGTCTCATTGTTCGATCGAGCTATGAATTCCGTGACGATTATCATGGAAAAGTTCATCGGCGGACATCAATGATATAAAATTAATTGCAAGAAACTGAACGCGATACTCGAAGCAAAGGCTGCGAGGCTGTTTCTAATCTTTTGAAACGTTGAGCAAAATTGCCACAAATATCGTTGCATTCTGACAAGTGGATCACACCGAGGCGGCTTATTCAATTAATACAATGCCATCGATTTAAATCAAAAGAAAGTCCGTTAATTTGCTTGACTCAACCACAGTGTAGTTAACCTCTGTATTGTAGCTGATAAAAACGAATTCGCCTCAATTAACTGATTCAGCCAATTTCGGCTCACGCACTGTCGATACACAGTCGAGCAATGATATCACTCTCTGCGTGCGCTTTGTGCCTTTTATTCAAACGAAGCGAAAAATAATCGTGATAGGAAGAGCAGATAATGACGAACTCGTGACGACGAATTATTGTTTAATTCAAGCTAGACGATCGTATCATTAGCGAAATTTTATTTTTCTCTGGCGTCTGTTATTTTGTGTCCATTTAATGCATATCGATTAATAACGATACAATAGGGGGATAGAGCGTAGAAGATAAAATATAGCCTTTGTTCGTACATATTGCGGCTCACGAGGAGAAATTTTATATATCTAATTAGCGTTAAAATTTAACACCGAATAATTTACTTGAATCTCAGCTTCTACGAATACATTTACAGTATTCTATCAATGTAATTTTGATAGTTGTGTTTCTTTACAGTGTTAATGATTCATGTAACGCGTATAATTTATTCATAAAAGGTTTATTTTATTTTTCACTCGTAAAATTAAAGCAGACGTGGAGATTTTGTTAATCCCACAAGTGCTTTCGGAGTTAGAATATTCATTACGTTGCTTATCATCGGTCGTAATTATAGTGTAGCAAAGCCTTCGTTCGTTTCGTTGTTCGCGTGCATGTGGCTGATACTCATATCTATTAACCTTTGTTTAGACGGAGTAACTAAGCTTTTTGTATCCCCTGCTTTCAGTTCGTGCAATCTTTGTAACGCGATACTGACTGGGCCTTATCTTGTACAATGTAACTTATTGATCTCGATGAGACGACGTCTGATTGAGGATGACTTCCTAATTAGTCCGAATTTTCAGCAGGGAACGTTACAAACGAATTTCAACGGTGCGACATCCACAAGGCGGAGAATCAGTGCGGCGAGAATGAAAGGTGCTTTCAAAGTACGAAGGACGAAGAGGGAGAGTGCAGATGCGAGCTAGGTTACGAATTTGCGAGAGGCCAGTGTGTCCAGCTTACAACTACCACGATTACTAGCATAACTGTCGATCAACCAGAAGTCGAAGTCAATTCAGGAGGTACATGTGGATGCCACTAGAAATACTGACGAGCGTTATAAACAGCCTTTCTAAAAATAATGCTTGCTACCATAGAGAGCAGAATATAAAATTTTCCACGATAATACTGTTTTATTATCTTTTCCTTCAGTCTGATAAATATAGCGGTTGCATTAGCTCGTTATTCATTCATAGAGCAACGATAAGATGGGGTTATCGTGGAAAAAATAAAAATGCTTAAGCAACAGATGGCCGCAGTTCTGCACGTGGATGTTACTGAATGAAATTTATTTTTACATTCTGTTTAGGTAGTTCCGTAGCCGCCGGTTTGTTAATACCGACTTTCCTCATAGTGATGAGTGTGCTGCTGTATTTCGTTGCAAGGCGATACAAATGGTTGCAACGGGTTCGACATTTTCGTCCGAATCATTACGGCAATGTCCTAGTCACAAGAGACGACGACGACGACGACGATCCACCAATACCGTAAGCAGGTGCCTAATAACAATTAATACCGTGTACAAACGTGCGAATGTTCTCATTAAAAGCGCAAACTTTCGTACGCAGAAACGCTCAGTTACACAATTTATAATTTAAAGCGACAAGCTTTGAGTTACCTTTACGAGGATCACTTTACCGAATAACCGCAATAAAAATTCTATATACCGGTTCACATTCAATTTCTTCGTCTTCTCTGGACAAGTTGCAAGAGAATTTCGATCGATTTCTCTATCGATTTTCTACACGCAATGCAGACAATGCATTTAATTGCTTATATGTTTCTTCATGTGATGGTGTAATTTCGAGGATTTCGCTGAACATTGAATGATACGCACGAAAGTTTTTTCTTGGAGCTTGTTACGCTTAGGGAACAATGTTGTGTAACTCTGTGTAAATATATGGAGCAAAGTTTAAATACGAGGTAAATATGCAAGGCAAAATATCGTCGAACTGAATTAAGAGGCTAAATGTAAACGAGTGTTAGTGTAAGTAGGTGTATTTTATGCTGATGTGCGAAACTTTCATTTCTTTCACATCAATGTGCTATTTACCATGTACGTATCTTGCGTTTACATGGCAAATACTTTTTAGAAATGGTCTTACTGACATCATTATTAAAAATTACGTAATATTCACGTTACTGTTTTTTTTAATAATGGATCGTAGAGAACATTTGCATAAAAATACTGTTACTTACACGATCACCGATTCCTATGTTTATATACGATGGTTGTAAGGGATAATTGACTGCGGTTTTAATAGTTTGTAAGAACACATTGAAAGCATAATTTTTTACGATGATATTAAGAAACTGGTCAGTAAATTTTATATAAAGTAATAAATTTGTATAAAAACGATTGTCAGTCCACCTTTCGCTGTATGCAAAATTTAGAATGAATTACATATCTATGTTCTCGATGTATTCTCCGATCGTGCAATGAAATTCATACACGTGATGCGATTAATATCCTATAATATTCATAGATTTTATATTTTTTTAAACGTATAAGAACTCTTATTATTATTTAATAGCATTGACTGTTTCCTTAGAAATTGAGGACATATACTCGGGATATTGTATCGCGTTCACGTGAATGAATTTTGATCGTTCTTTCTGAATGTCTTGTTCTTTCGAGGGTAACTCTCAAAATGGATGTAACTTTACCAAAGAATAAACGTTTCAGGATCTAAATTGACGCATACCTCTCAGTTATAAGTGAACGCGCAAAGAATCTGTGTTATATGTAATTTCATAGTTGCGATTGTGAAGTGCATCGTATATTAATATATAATTGATTAATTATGATTGAACTTTCTGCTACGTGTGAACGTAGTACATTACCTATCTACTTCACCAATGGTATTAATTACGTGTGCTCGATTTAAGTGATAATTGGAAGAGAAAAACTTTTACGCGAGAAGAATGGGCGATTCTTAGTCTTCCTTACGAATCGAAAAGAGTTAACTTTTAAATTACAAGACGTTTAGACGCTGCTGCACTCATACCAAAAGAATGTTGCATCTCTTGTCATGCTCTATATTGTTTCTTGTAATATAGCGAAAACTTGTAAATAACTTCCCGCCATTCCGCGGGTGCGTATTCTTGCCAGCCAATCATTCTCTTTCCTATAGTGTATAATCTAATCGTGATTCTAAGAAGAAAAATCCCATATACATGTAAGAAAAGAGGAATCTCTACGTGAAAGATTATTGAAGCGCGCACATTTACGAGATTTATATAGTATATGTATATACATGTATATATATATATATACATATACATGTATATATATATATATTTAACCTATTCTTGTATTCTATCATTTTTTGTACAGAACTACGCACTAGAGATTAATCGGAGCAATTAGTCGGTGCTCGGGATATATCAATTCCGATTCGTTAGGCCGTTTGGCATCGCGAGATGAGATTTGATATTTTTATAGTTCGCGAATACAAATTGAAACGGTGCGACTGGTACTAGCGAATTATCGTTTTTAAGTTACGTATTACTGGGAATTCTCTTTTGTATTTTGCGATAGAAGATGATAAGGCACCGATCGAAACGACAATGTTCATTTTCACTTGTTAACGACACGTCTCGTTAGGCAACACATCCGCGAGGGCAATTCGATTATATTCGAATGTAATTGTTGTTACCGTTTCTAATAATCGTTGCCACGTTTACGCAAAAAGTAATCGCAATATATTTTTTGAATGCTGCAATTTTGAAGTACGATTTGCTGCAGTAGTTTGAGATGGATGAGAGGAACGTTAATCGATTCCATCGTTCCTAGAGGATAATTTTTAGTTTTTGTGTACGTGGCTTTGTTGAATAAATTTTAATTCTGTGATGCATTTTTACATTATCCTTGGTGCAACATCATCGATTAATCGATGATTCTTTTGGGGAATTTGTTAGAAACATCACTCGACTTGCAAGAGTACAACACTGTCACATCCCAGGGGATGGGGCCTTTGCTATTTTTTATAAATAGCCATGGTTTCGAGGGATCGTGTTGGTAAGATAAGATAATGATAGAGTAAAGAGGAAAACGTTTCGGAGTCGCCAACCATATTCACGAGTAGAGGCTGCTGATGGTGGCGACCCCTAGTGCCAGATGCTTAGGTGGGAGAACATGAAACTTGAAGCAATTTATAGGTTGAGCATGAAAAACGGTCACCCATCCTAGGACTTGTGGCCCGCTCACTGCTTAACCTGGGTGATCGCCATCGATTCGTTAGTTGCTCCGTATCCACTGCGACTTGTGAAAATAAATGTTTAGAATTTGTATATGAGGAACAAACACTGCGGAGACTCGACACCAAATGAGACCCTTATCCCCAACATGGTTGCTAGCCAAGGAGAGAGATTGAAATTGAAATTAAAATGAAACAATGGGGACTTGAACGGGAAAATCCGCAATGACATCGGAAGCCACATTATCATCATCGATTAATCGATAATTTTCTTGGCATAAATTTGTTAGGTACAATGTTCACTCGATTACAAGAGTACACTGTGTTACACGTACAGGTTGTGCAAATTGCTTTAGAACTGAACAGTTCGCGAGAGATTTGTTTCGTTTCTCTGACAACGAAACGTCGTTTCTTCATTGTCGGTGACCAAAAGGTATCTAAAATTACATATCTAAAAAGTAAAACATATCCAATGAAGTCGTTTGATTCGTCTATTTCTAATAAATGCGTACGAAACGTGTCATCAGAATTCGGTCATCAATGACCGCAACGAAGAATTTGTAAATATTCAACATCGATAAATATGAAATAGAAAATAAATAAATTAACATTCAAATGGTGTATCATTGATTACTGGTATTCCTTTTTTAATCAACCTGTGTAGTTAACATCGAATTAATTATTTATTTCTCACGTTAATGTTATTTAATTTAATTTTTGCGATATAAATGAGATGAAAGGTAAGATTATTTTTGTGGGTCTCCATTCGTAGCAACCTCCATGTGGTGGGACCTGGGAAATCGGTATTATTTATAATATAATACTTGTATTATACTATACATAATATCGAGCTAATGGCTACGAGATTAATCTTCGTTCACTGTATATATTTTTCGGAAAAGAATTTTAAAAAATTTAATATATAATAATCAAATTTATGTGCTTGAATTGCTAGTCATTTTAATAATTGTGTTTTGTAAATGTGTTCGAGGATTGATCAATTAGATCTTAATGTCGTTAAAAGAGAGAATTTAGTTCCGATTATTATAATTTGTAATGAAATACCATATTAGGATACGAAATAGATTTATTCATTTTGTCGCTATTTAATATCATGCGTCAAAGCTTTTTAATTTACAATATATTCATGGTAAAATGCATACTCGAGAAAACTTATTCGCTACTATTATCGAAAAAAAAAAACAATCGAGACGACAAATGTGCTTTCGTAGAAAATCGTTTACACGTGCGTATCGCGCTTAGAGTAATAATTTAATCCGAAGGAATAGTAAAGTTAGGCATATAATCGTGCGCATATTTACAAGTTTAGCCGAAAGTAGAAACGGTTTGCAATTTACACCGTAGCCGTTGGATGCCTAGAAATGTATTCTAACAATTAGAATATAGTTTTCAAAAAGGTGCCTTTAACTAATACTAAAGAACTACATATTTCGAACAATGATGTTTTAGTTGGATAAAAGACAATCCTTGTTTGCTCGCATCTATGTGACAGTTTGATTATTCAGATATTCGTTTTCTACTTTCAAGATCTAATACACGAAAACTATCCGCTGTACTGTCCCCTCGTACGAAAGACGTCGAAAAGTTTGTCCACGCGAGTAAAAATCTAATAAATTCCTTTATTCCGAAGGGAAGCCAGCTTCTGCAGAAGACCGCCCCTCCAAAAATGATCGATCGACGTTGGTACAAATGAATTTTCACTCGTAGTGATGGATTTCATGCCCGAGCAGGCGGATTCTATAGTTCCGAAGGTTTCTTCCAAATATTTCCCCGTCATTCGAATTTCGTTCAGTAGCCAGTGTAATCGTGCCATGATCCCCTTTGCGACCTATACTGCGCCCCGCTGATTTGAATCGCCTCGGGTGTTCTGTAATACACAGTTCTCAGTCTGTCGTTGCTCACCGCTGGCAGAAATTGAGGAGTAGGAACGAACGATTTCTGTTGCTGTTGTTGGTTTATAGGCCTCGATACTTTGTAATTGTTCTCGGACGATTGGAGAACCGCGTCCCTTCCGATTTGTCTGTGCAGAGGCAGCACGAACCCGCTGGGCAAATTTGCCTCCTGATTCAGCGTAGGCGTCAATGCGTCGTTCAAAGTGACGTCGTACTCGCTCTCCGGGATATCCTGCAGCCTGTGGGTTACCTCGTTGATCCTCTGCTTCACCCTGTAACTTTGAGGCCCGGTTGGTTGTTCCTGGGTCTCGTCGTTCTTAAACGTCGACCCATAAACGTTCGGACTTTCGCTGGCTGTTAGCCTTCCTTTATTCCGAAACGACGAGCTCGACACTTGTACGTTCCCTTCGTTATTCTGCTGATCCGAAAACTCTTCGGTGGGCCATTTAGCCAATGCTTCTTCAAAGTTCTGTCCATCTTCTGCCTGTTCCTGCTTCGGTCCTCTGACGAACGCATCGTCCAGAGATTTCTGCGATTCTTCTTCCCTCTGTCTCTCATTCGGCCTTCTAATCGCGGGACTCGCTATAGACGTATCATATTCGTCGTTATATTCGTGTTGACCCTCAGTTTGAACATTGAACTTATACGGGTCGTGAGTTTCTTTCTCCACCTGCTGCGTTTTAGGTTCTTGGGTTGGTTCTCTGAGGGTCTCCTGCGCTGCCTCGTGCACGTAATAGCTCTTAGGTCTCTCCTGAACGTTCGTCCTTTCTGTTGGCCTGTCCTCTTCTCTCTTAGGCGTGGTAGCTTTCACACCGACCGGAGACAAGCCTCTTGGATTGGGATTTCCACCTCTGGATGGCAAGAAGGGACGTTTAACGATGCGAACTGTGGTTCGCGGTGGTGGAGCGGGCGGATCTTCCGGTTCGTCGTAGTAATCCTGCGAATATTCTTCCAACGACGCGGTTTGATACTGGCCACGGTCACGTTTTTCATCCTGATCCCTCTCCTGATAATCCGACTGCTGCTGGTTCGTTCGATACGATCCTTCTTCGTCCTCGATCGGCGCTCGCGTTGTTTGACTTTGCGCGTTTGACTTGGCTGGCTTCTCGGTAAGAGTTTCTCTGTCATCGACAGGTTCCTTCGACGTTGATTCTACTTTATGAATGAGCTGTTCGGGCAGACAAGTGGTAGTCGTGGTGGTGGTGGTGGTAGTGGTCCTTTCCGTTCGATCGTAACTACTTCCTCTTCTTGGCGGTGAGTCTGTAGCCTCTTGCAGATCCTTCGATCTCGAGCCTATCCTAGAACGATCGGCGTCGCGTTCTTTGTCTTGTGGTCGGTACTGTCTCTCTGGTTTATCAGCGTCCTGCATTCTTCCTCGATCACGATCCACCACCGGTCTTTCCGCGTTACGATCTTTTCCACGGTCGAGGGATCGATCTCTTCCGCGTTCCGCACCTCGATCCCTGTCTCGATCGTAGTAACGATCTCTCGAGCGATCCGGGTGTTTTCTTGGTCGCAGGTCGTCCTCGTCGTCCCGATATCGAGGTCTGAAATTGGACATTTCGTTTCGAGTCAATCATATTTCCGACGTACGTACATACATACGTTTGAAGATGTTATCGATGTATGTTATTTCGTGTTACAGTATACTACGTCGTTAGATGTGTTGCGAACAATTAGTTACGACAGCGAATATAATTGTATCGGTGTTGTGTACGTACGTTACCTTACCTGTAGGGTCGGCCCCTATCCCTGTCTACGACGTCGTAGAAATCTCTGTCTCTGTCTCTGTAAGTTGGCCTTCTCCTCAATGGTCTTCGAATTGGCCTCAGATCTTCCAATTCATCTTCGTAGTAGTCATCTTCCGCAATGTCTACCGGTCTTCTTCGAGGTTCCTCTGCGCAATTCCGATGCGTTTAGATTCGCTGAATGATGTATCTTACGTATTAATCAATTAAAATAAATTGTTTAATCCCCCTGCGGGAGTAACAGTTACCAGTCGATTGAACGGTTGTGGACTTGTAAGCGTATTTGTCCTGTTCAGAGAGTGGTACTGGCCTCCGAATCTTGGGAGGGGCTCTCGGTCTTGCGTACACCGACGCTACAGGTGCTGCAGGCTTTACCAAACCATCCGAATTCCCGGTTGCACCTGCAGACGCAGAAACAGCTTCTTTATCCTCGTAATCGTCTCTGTACCTGTAAAGAAATGAATTTGATTCGCTTAGAGTCGTTCGATTATCGCAAACGAAAGAGAAATCAGTTTTGCGATGGAGCAACGTCAAAATCGTTAGAAGTAGAAAATTACAAAAATCATATTTCATTCGTTGTTTCCTAGACATTATTTCTTTCTGTCCTTGGCGAATAATTTTTATTAATAATTTATTTTAAGTATTTTTATTTTATTTTTTTTTAATATAAGGTTTCAACTTTCTTGGGAAATTTCTGTCGTCGATTAATGCAATCACCTTTTGTCAGAGTAGCGACGATCGTCATTGTCCCTGAGCCTGAACTCGGTTCGCCGGTCTTCCAATTCCGCGTCGTCGACTTCCCTGGACGCGGACCTCGATCCTTGATCAGGATCTCTGGGCCTGACTCTCGTGTCTTCGTCGAGAGGATCTCTCGCCCTGGTAGGATCCCTCCTGTTGTTTCTACCTGGGTAACGATCCCTCACACTCGCCTCACGATCTCTGTCGTCCCTGGGAACTCCCTCCCTAGACCTTGGCGTGTCTCTGTCTCGAAAGTCACGATCTCGATCTCTGAAGTCACGATCCCTGTCTCTCCTGTATTTTCGATCGTCGTAGTCGTAGTCGTCCCTGCTGTAGCCACGCGGACGACCGTAATCGTCGTCGTAGTACTCCTCGTCGTAGTAATCGTACGCCGGTCGTCTTCTAAACGGTCTTCTTCTCCTTGGTAGATCTCTGTCTCTCGGTTGCTGGCGTCCCGCGGCGGCTGCCACCGGTGCCGACGTGGTTGTCGTCGAAGTGGACGTCGTGGAGGTTGTAGTAGCCTTGTACAGGGCATCGTTCCTGTGCCAGTATTTCTTCGAATTGGCGCAGTCGACCTCGGAGACGAAGTGACAGATGAAGGTCTTCTGGTCGAAGGCTGTGAAGTTCGCGCAGAGGAAGTCGTATCTCGTGCCGAAAAGACAGTGATGGTACACCTGGAAGAAGATGGAGAAAAATGGATTACTTGGATTATTCGTGAAAGCAAGCTAATTGCAAGTTGTATTGTTCTGTCCTCTCCTTAACTAAAATTGTATTTTCTTTTTCTTTTTTTTTTTTTTTACAGATACGTGTCACTTAGAATTCGAGAAACGAGAATTTTTTTCGGTTGATACTTCAGGACAGGGTGGATTTAATAACACACTCGTAACACAGTTTTCACCGAACACCAACGTAGCCAGACACCATCGTAGCTTTCACACCGTGACTACGTGTGCCCGAGTAATTGCTCCGAGACCACACAACTGCAACTGGCGGTATTACACGTATAGGCGGGCTTGCCTCTGTAAAAGTATCCTACAATTGTCCGGCACGTATCGCCCGGTCGGATTATCTAAAGGAATCATCTAGAATCATTCAGAGCACGTCCACTGGTTGGTTCGACTTCGTTTCTTCGAAACGTTCCTACCTCCGTTTTTTCTTCGCCGTCCCGAATGACAGACGTCTGCTATTTCCTTCGTTAGTTAATCGTTAAACTCCTTTCCCTTTTCCTCGTTTATCCTGATTTTCAATCGAATCTTTTCGCATGCGCGAGCGTCGCTAGCAACAGGGGACAGCCTCGAGTTTCTCTATGCTTTGGTAATTTTATTGGAAAGTCCGAGTCCCCTGTTCTAAATTGCAGGAAGTAACTCGTTGCGTATCTGCATGACAAGAACGCCGGTCGGCTTGAAATTGCTGCCGTTGTTTCCAAGCATCTCGTACCGTGTTAGTCCAGCGATTTCGCGATGATGGATCACGACTATTGCCTAACTTTTAGCTGCTAAATGTCAGACGTACACCGCTGCTCAAGAGTCCCAAGACGCTTCTCGTTTTTAATATCTCGTTCGAGAATAAAATTCTTCAATTGCTCGTGAATTTTATAGTAGAATTGTTAATGTATTGACACTCGTAGATTTTTCATTTTGCTTACTGTAGTGCGTTAGTACGTAGTGCGTAGCATTTATCGTAGATAGTAGAATTGCATGCGTATTTCACAAATACAGTGTTAATATATTAATTCTTCGTTTACTAAAAATCATTTCATCGCTCCTTCTTTCGAGACAAACGCAGCACTTGTCCCAAAACTTTTGAGCAAAGGTGTACGATCAATTTGAATAGCCGTTAGAGAATCGTGTGATCATCGATATCTCTTTTCAGCGATTGCAAGTTCGATGAAGCGGGACGCGTGTCTAATTACAAAACGTTCTGCCGGTTTGCCGTTTTTGTTTCTCATTAATCTTTCTTTCTTGCATTTCCTTTTTCTTCTTCTTCCACGTGATATCCGGTCGGGAGATCGTTGGCCCACGAAGAGGGCCGAGCGAGGCGAATCTGCGAACATTTGCATAACAATAGGCTCATTCGTTCGGTAGCCGGGGCTAAACAATCGATAAGGAACAACGGAAAGGGGCACTCTGCAATCGCTTTCACAATCCCAAGATCGCCGCGCGTGAATCTTGAAACGGTCAGGGACGGGAAGTGTATCGGACCGCGAAAGTCTCGTCGCTTCTTTTTTCTCGTGTCTCTTTTTCCCTCTTTCCGCGAGTCTTACCTCCGTCTTTCTTCACTTTTTCCAACCGAGTTTTCGCAGGAAAGATTCGCTTTTCCTCGCGAAACGGAGGACCAAGTCGTCCGAGAAATTGTTGTTTGTTGCGTCTATCGTTTAAAATTTTCCTGTTACTTAAGAGCTCTTTGTTTCTATTTTGTGGAAATACAGACGAAATACTTTAGACTTTGGACCATTTTTGAAATTATCGACTTTCAGCTTGCAGCCAGTCAAGTCGCATATAACGCACTTAAGTTCAAATAACTACTAGGTTACTACTAGATTAGTATACAAATTCAAGAAGCAACGAATAGATAATAACCAATATTCGATTAAAAGTATCGAACAATCGTCAATATTTCAGGTCTGTAAACTACAGTCTCGTTATGAAAATTTGAATTGCTATTTCAAGTAATATACTTTTTAGCATACTTTTGAGAAACAACTCCCTGCGAAAGGTTAATCATTTTGATTGTTTATTTTCGTTCTTCGTTCATAAAATACGAAGACAATCGTATCATGGCAGGAACTTATTAGACGATTTGATTTTAAAACGTTAGTCCGTTTCGTTTGTGCTTGTTCCGTCGTTGGGAACCGAAGAACCTCAGTCACGGACCGTTGACGTTCGTTCGTTTATGCGAGTGGACGATACACCTTGTCAGAAAATCTTTCTCGGGCATTCATTCAGATGACACTGACTTTCCTTTTCACTAGAGAACGATCGCGATCGGTGTCCACTTTTACTCTTGCAACGAGTCGCGATTGGTCCCGTGTTTCTTGATTTACACGCGATTACCAACTGGTTTCCGAAAGAATGGCACACATGGTGTTTCTCAACGCCTGCGTAGGTTTCGTCATACGTCTTGCATTTATCCTGATAAAAAGTATATATATCCTCATGTTTATTATGTAAATGCATTGAGATTGGGCAAAGATTTTACTTGCGATTCGTGAAAGAGATTTTGATACTGGAAATTTTAGCGTGAGTGTTACAGACGTTTTTTTTTTTAATAGTGTGGTAAATTAGTATAGTAAAGGACGACTGTCATGATTATATTGCTTAAATTTAAAATCAGTTTACATGTATAAAAATTACGAAACATTGTAATATAGTAAAAAAATAGTATAATAGCACAAATAGTGATGAAAAGTGTAGAATTAGTATTGAAGTGGTTTCGTTAATTCTTCATCTTAAAAAATTTTCATCGACGTACCTCCTTAATTGACGTACGAAATTAAATTCAAATAATTCGCATTATTTCCCATGTATAGAACGCATTAAAAAGTGACCACCACTGGTAACAGACAAATTCCTTTAAATATATATTAAGCTAAACAAGGAAAAGTCTCGCTATCACGTACGGTCAATGAAATTTCTTATTTGTGTAGCCAAATACGGTGTCTGACAGTCGTTACTATAAAAGTAGTATTTATACATAAGCTTTAAACAGGTTCTGAGCGATATCTGGTTCGCGAGGCTTTTTATTTAAAATTTACCAACTTTTTATTTGTTCTACGATAAAATCGAATTAACCACGGAACGTTCATCTATTCGAACGTTCTAATTCGAAATATTTAATCGTAAAATAATACTCGATTGGAGTATTACAAGTGTATTTCACAACAAATGTACACTTCCGATTTTATTTGAAATTTTATATATGTTAGTTGTTCAAAAATGTTTTATGTAACACTCGTAATATGTAGTAATGTATTCATGAAAGATTTTCTTGGGTACTTTCGCGAATCACTGTATATGTGTACGTGTATCACGTAGAGACAACTTACGTACGTATGTACGTGGTGGTGCGGTCTGATTTACCTCGAGAAACTGCACCTTATTAGATCGAGTCTAAAAAGGTTCGCTGCTGATTACCGTATATCTAGTCCAGAAGCGATAGGCGTTTTTCCACGCGAATTATTCCGTTCTTAATTTCGCAGTTTCTTGCGCCTGTCAACTCTCGAAGCGAGCCGTTTCATTGATTTTTCGTCTCGTTCGACGAAGGCCTTTTGAAATGAGAAACAGTAAACTTCGCATAATTGCGTGCGAATGCAAAGTGTCGAAAATAAAGGATCGCTTGTTCGTTTCTTCGAGGCATCTTCAAGCGACCGTAGCTTCAAGTGTATTCCTCGAGACGCTGACGTTGTTTAAAGAAAGAGAAAGCCCGCCAATTTTCATCGCCAGGAATAGCCAGCCGATTGATACCGCGTCAAGCAGAATAATTACAGAAACGGTCGTAGTTCTCACCTGGCATTTGTGCGGCACGCTCGCGTAAAACCCGTCGTGAAGACCGTCGCATTTGAAATCGATGTCCTCTGGTATGCTGTTGTAGAACGGATAATCGCTGAGATTGTAGCCGTTCAGTTCGCGAGGCAGATTCGGGTCCCAGATGTAATCGATCTGCGGGATTCCCGTGAGGACGTGTCCGGTCGTCGCGTTCGTTTCGGCGGCCACTGTCGTGGTTGCCTGGACAAAAAGTCACAGCATTTTAGCGCGAAATTTGCACTAAATTGTTAATATATAATTCTCTTCTAAACGTGCAATGACCGTGTTATCCAGTTAGTCGAATTATTCAATTTTTTTTTTTTTTAATAAAAAATATATGTATTTTTTAATCAATTTAATTAATTTTTTTATTTAGGTAATTAAAATTTTTTTTTTTATCAAAAATATTCAGCTTACTTAAACAATTCTAAGATATTTATTTATAGGTATAGTGTAGACCATAGTAGTCAATTCTATTAATTCAATTTCGAATTCTATTTTACATTTCGTATAATCCGTGGTAAAGACCCGATTTTTACGCGTTTGTTAGAAAATTGAACTCTAAATTGTCGTTACTCTCGATGAGGATTTTCTCTTCTGCTTCGAGCTACTCGGTCTATCTTATGGGACAGTTGTTATTTAACGCATCGTAGATTTACCGATTCTACTGTCAGAGATGAGCTCGTGATGCTACTTCGATGATGTCACGGTGTCGTTTCTATGTGAAGGTAAACTTGTTGCTGACGGTAGTTCAGATGAACGTTAATTAATTTAACATGAACGCGCGCGATTGTCGGCTATTAGAACAAGTTGCAAAAAAAAAAACGGCTCGTGAAGGAAGTTATCGGTATCGTGATCTTTCACTCTATCTTCGCTTTGTTGCATCAATTTGAAAACAGAAACAGACAACGCGTGAGTTATCGTTTATTGCAAGCTCACGAAGAGAGAGAAATATCGTTCAGCTATTGGCATCATCGTAATCTTCCTATCTTCGCGTCGTTGCATCAAGCATACGAGGATGTATAATTGGAAAATAGGAACGAACGCGTGGTTGTAGCATCGTGACTGTAGCATCGTCGCCGCGATTTGCATCATCGGCGATGAACGATCTCCCTGGTTCTATTCCTGTACCGATAAATCGAGTCGCAACACAGTGACGGAACCATCGATTTCGCATCATGGTTTCACTACACGCGAGCAGCTTTTCCATTCGATTATATTCAAGAAGCCATAAGGAAACTGACATTCGTGACTTCCAAAATTGGAATAATTGAATAAGAATTTTATTGTTCGAATAATTTTAATTTCATCACTTTTGGATAGAGTACTTGTGAGTAATTTACAAGCAGAATTTTTTCCCCGTACGAAGCGCACAGAAAATAAAATAAAAATTTTAGACGAACATCTCTAAAATACTGTATCAAACCAGATATTGATCAACTGGTATCTAAAAAAAAAAAAAAAAAAAAGAAACAAGCTCAGTGTTCTCGTTACATTATTTTCATATTTTTCAAATTAATGTAATTATATTTTTCTAATTGAACTGATAAAGAATTATGTGAAACATGTGCAGCCCTCGACAAATTTTTTGTTAGCCAGTGAGAAGCCCAGATGATCTAAATGGTTGGACACCCTTGATCTAGAATCTAGAAAATACCTCCGTATCCTCGTTTTCATTCTCGCGCAAATGGCTCTCCTCGGTGGTGCTGCTGGTGGTAGTGGTGCTAGTGGTTGACGTTGAAGTTGTGGCGATCTTGAATTTCGGCCTGGTGGGCTTTCGTTCGGCCGAGATCGCGTTCGTTAATAGGATTCCTGTAACGTAAACGAGAGGAAAGTATGTAACACGGTCGGCGAAACAGAAGCGCGACCAGAGATTTCGTAGTTGGTCTTTCGCCCTTTGGTTTTTCTCCGAGAAGCGTCGAAACCGTGACGATTGAAATTTGTTTGATCGGTGGAACGTGCTGGAATGGGACAGCTGTCAAACACATGGGTAAATAATCAGAGGCTGGTACGCACAAGTTGCGAAGAGGGTTGCACAAGTGGTCGCGAAGAAGCGTCGGCGTTGCAAAATCTGCGCACATGAGAAGATCGGCGAGAGCTCGGTTTAAAGTGTTGCAATTTTCCGTCGCGCAGGTGAATGCGTTCGGTTGGGCAATTATTGTTCAAGCAGATCAAGGCTGTCTATTGATTCGTTTCTTTTGTTCAGCGAGATTCGTTGATTTACGAGAGGAGATCGTACGATACGGTACTTGACGGTCTTGTTTCCGTTGGGGAAGGTTTTGAGAGCGATTCTTCTTAGCTTCCGCGACCGTCGAAAATCCGTGTTTTCACAACTGCGTGAATTTCAATTGACGAGTCGAAGGAGCGTTAGAGTATTGTACTCGTGGAAATGTAATTTGTAAATTTGTACAAGCATCAGCGATCTAGAAATTATTTACAAACTAGCATTTTTACTTAAACTCTTTCTTTTAGTACGTACATACTATATATTTTTAACCGTGAAACAAAAAAGGCGAGAGCCAGCCTATCGGACAATCTTGACTGTAATCTAAATTCTATGTCTGTAGTTCTCTCATCGTGTCCCTCATTTTCTCCCCCTTCGCCAGGACGATGTGCCCCGTTAATGAACTTGAATTATCGCAAAATCTTTGCTCGTCAGCCTCCCCCAGTCTAATTAAATCAAACCGGTTCAAGGTCGGCGACAACTTTCCGAAGCCAGACGGGATAACTCGTCATCGCAAATGCGATACAAAAACCGCAACACACTTTCGCCGGGTACACTCTCTTTCCAAGGGATGTTTGGACAGTAAATCGTCCCTGGGCACGATCGATTTCGGCATGAGGATCTCTTTTACGATCCTTCTCGGAGAGGGGACGTCCTCGACGCCTTTGAAAATCACGTAGCCCGGCAACGGGATTGTAACGGGATCGATAACCAGCGTAACCGGCGACGTTGCATAAAAATGAATTATGGGAACGTGCTCGCATTCCGTTTGTGGGAAACGCTCGGCGTGGGCGCACCCCTCGGCGAAACGTTTTCGTGACGAAACAAGCCTGCCGGCTGTATAAACAAATTGCTCCATTCCGATTTTGTATCGGCCGACTAACGATTGTCTTTCCGATTCCCGCTTCGAATGGGAACGCCGTGGCATTCTCATTAAAGAAGGGCGTAACGATATCGAATAGTTTTACTCGGCGACTCGACGTGCTCCATCTCGCTCCCTCGTATTGGTTGTGTTTCGTTCAATCGTTCAATCGTATTTCCTTTCGTCATATAATTTGCTAGAACAGCTAAAAACACAATATTGTGCTACTATTGTAAAAGGTGCTTCCCTTCCACATGTCATTTTTAACCTAATTACTGATAGACTCAAATGAGTCTGTTGTAATTTTCTTTAGAATAATAAAAAAAATATATATATATAATTTCTTCAGTTTGAAGACAGCTTGGTCAATCGTACTTTTTTTTTTTTTTTTATCGAAGAATTCGTCAAGTGCGAAGATCAAGGAGAAAAATGGCAATTTTGTAATTTCAGTACTTGAGGGCGTGCATACTGATTGGAAAAGAATTTATAGTTGATAAAAGTGAGCGGGAAGTTTTGTAACAAAGCAGTGATATAATCTTACGACAATTTGGCAAAATTGATTGGCAACTGTTAAATTTAAAAATTGTTTCTTCACAAGACACGAGAAATCTGATCTTCTCTCGTCGTTGTTCTTTATTCAAGATTTTCTTCGCACGAAATGAAAATGAGATTGAAAAGTTCAACGAATACGACGGAAGTACGAGTACATCTTTGATCGTGTTCGAGGCATTGATCCGAAAACTGGCGTTTCAAAGATTACGCGAGTAAATTTGTTCACGTACCCGAGAATGGAATATTCGCGCAGAATATTCGTGGCTGGATATTTTTGCTATCCCGAGGAATCGAAATGTGGTTATTGGGTGCTATATCGTTTGGTAGCTTTCAAACAAGTTTTCGAAGGTTTCGGCGAGTTTCTCAACGCGAGGAACGTATAATGTCAGAAAACGTGAGCGTTTTGAAACGTCCCAAACTGGCTTGGGATTGCTTAGTATCTCTTCGTTAAAAAAAAAAAGTGTTCCATCGTCGTCGGTGGAAATTGCTCGACCAAAAACTCCCGTCTCGATAGAAAATTTCGGAGCTCGTCGGTTCGCGCTGCACGTCGCGATAGGACAAAGGAAGCGAGCTTCTTGATATGCGCAGCAGGTTCATCTTTTCCTTCGTGGAATCTTTTTCGTCAAGCTCTTTCGTGCACGCTCTTCTGCGTCGTGAATACGAAACGTAACATCTTTTTCTTTTTTTTTTCGCATCGGTTCAGTGGTAGATTCGATCTTTCTACTGTGTCAAATTCACAAACGAAGCGATATTCGCATCGAAGGATGAGTTACGCGATGATGTGAACGAACCTTGAACAAAACATCGATGCAAAATTCTCGGAAGGTTGACATTCCTCTCCGGATATGGGGAGCCCGAAAATACTAAGGACACTCTATCAGAGCGATCGAGATTAATTCTTAATTGATATCGTTGGGCTATTGGGAACTACAACAATTCAGAGTGAAATTAGCTCGAACGTTTTCGATTGAATTTTATCGCTAACATCTGCAAAGCAAAATCAAATTTGTTCTGAATTTTCATAATTCAACTGTAAATTATTATGATCCAACGGTACTGTTTGGGAGTCAAAATCTATTCTGAATGACGTCTCGGATGTTTTAGTTTCGATTGAAAATTCGTTTCACTTACCGTACAGAGCGAGCAGAAGCCACCTTTTCTCCCGCATGTTGGCGCTACTGTAACAGACAGAATTGCATCTAGTTAATTCCATGCGAAGAATTTCGAAAATGCGACCGTTCGTAGCCATTCGAGGGTCGAAGTAAGTGTTAGAAAAAAAAAGAAAAAAAAGAAAAAGAAGAATCGATAGCACAGTTATTGCCAAAGTTTTCCGATATTGAGTTGTACGAAGCATTAATCGAGACGTAGTTCTGGCATCGAGCATAGACCGGTACAGGTACTTGAGCATATGGGAACGGTTAGGAACTTTCTCTGTGCTGTCACCACTGCTAACCATATAATGCAAGGATAATGTAGGTGTTATATAAATGCACGATCACGTAATACCGGGTGTGACTTTGTCGTCACTGGCTGCGCATGCTACTCCTGCTAATTACTAAAACAAAGAGGACTTTACTCTTCGGGTACCCGGTATATCTCTCTTCCGCTACACTCGACTGATGAAACTTTTTCGATACCACTGGCCGGCCTTCTACGAACAAACAGCCGAGCAGAGAATTAGCATAGGCGGCGAAAATCTTATGGGAATACTTTTTTTTATTAAGTCTAGTGTTTTATTAAATCTTTTGTTAAGCAGACGAATATTTTAAGGTTTAGTTCCGAAGCTCATATTCGGTGCAAATTTTTAAAGAATGTGAAACAGAAACTCGGTGAAAGTGAGTTTGCCGATAAGATTGGATTTCGTGATAGGTATTGACTACGTAATTGGGTATATTTTTTTACATTTCTGCTGATCAAAGATACTGTTTGTCAAAATTTGTAATTGATTTCCCGATTTTAAGATTAAATCCTGCCTCTTGGATGCGGTAATTTCTTTATTTAAAGATTCTCTGTGTTTAGGGTAAACATTTGATCTGTTTTTCGTGAATTCTTTTTCAAAACTCTCAATTAATATTATCCATAAACATCCGTAAGAGACAGGATTTAATTTTAAACAGAAAATGAATTGCAAATTTTGATTGCAAACCGATATGTTTGATCAAGCAGAAAAATAAAAGTATACCCAATTTAATACTCTGCGTGACATTCTGAATCGATAAAATTCCAATATAAAATCTCAAATTAATTCGTCGAAAGTTGTCTGGGCATTTACACGAATTCGCAGTCGGAATTCTCGCTTCGGTTTTGGATAAAAAAAAAAAAAATGTAGATCGCTCGGGCCGATCGCGGCATATTTTCGAATTAATTAAGCGCTCCAGTTCGCAGAGACGATCGTTATCGCTCGCGTAAAAGCGGCAGGAAAAGCCAGAATGAAGAGTCGAGGATGGCCGACTCGTTGCTCGCAGAGAAACAGAGATAATCGCGGAATTATTCGGTTACACAAGTTTCGTTATTGCTTTCTTCGCTCGTGTCACAACGAACGCTGTGTGCGCTGAGTTGAGTTTCTCAGGCCAGCTGGGAAAAGTTCAGGCGGCGTTGTTCGTCTCATTCGGAAGAAGCCGCGATTACGCGATCGCGCGATTCAACGAGCGTCTGTTTTACAAGTACCGTACGATTCGCTCGCCGCTCGAGACTCCGGCGCTTGCAGAATCGCGCAGGAATTTCGATAAAATACCCTCCGGCTATTCTCGAACGGATACACGGCGGGCGGTGTACCGTTTTTTTTACGAGGACCAATGCAAATAAGTTTTTTCCGTGGAAGGATTCCTCTTTATCGAGTTGCGCGCGAGAACGTTACCTTACGGTAAATTACATTATGTTACGACACGCGTAACGGTCATCCCACGATCGCTAAAGGTCACCGGAAGTAATGGCTGGCACGACTGGTTGCACGATCCATTTGATCTTTTAAACGCTGTGTGATTTTCCAATATTCAATTTATGATTTTTGTTGGGAATTTCAACAACACGATTCAAATAAAACTTTTCGTAAAATAAAAGCTTGTTGTACTCCATTATATCGCGAAGTTATTCTATTTCTTTTTAGTCTCTAATGGAAATTTCACTAGTTCTAATCTATAACGTCGATTGTTCTAGCGTTCCTCTTGGAAGTTACAGGAAGTTCTAAGTAAATTCCATTGGAGTGTTCAGTCGTGTAAGAATTTTAAATATCTAGTACCAGATGATTAATATATAAAGATACTATTTAATAGGTACTTTGTTGTTTTTCTTCTAAACGTACGCTAGCTCAACGAAACTCAACAAGCCTTTCCGCTTGTCTCTACGAACATGCTCTTTTCATTAGTGGGCGTGAGCATGAATTTGTTTCGATACGTTCGTTCTAAACGCACCGTACGATGTTGGATTTATTTTTCGAATAAAGCGTTGGCAGAGGGCGTGGTTAGGAAAACCCGGATAGCCTTCAAAAGTCGTACAGGTTAGCGGCAAGCTTTCATTTCCTCGTGCTTGCTGCTCGAGGCGGCTATCGACGAGTTGCGTTATCGTAAATTGTTACGAAGAAGCTATGGCGGTAATAACGGCGAGGCGACGAATGGAAAACGGTTGAAATCGAATGACTGCGTTCCGCGTCGATTTCAGACGAATTTCCGCATGTTTTCGAACATTTTTCCCGCGCCTTCGTGCTTCGACAGCTTGAGCGTTTCTCCCAATCGCCGGCCTTTGTAATCGGTTAAAAGCAGAACGTGAGAGTTGTCTTCTCGTTTCTAGTTTCATTTAACTCTTCGCATCGTTACACTATTGGTCATAAGTTTGGTGCACGTTTCGTGTCTGAAATATGTACATAGATTTCTTTACTTACAATTAGAGTGTTTCACTATGTTGTGTACTGTATAAAATGAACATTTTGTTTAAATTTACTCTAAGTCAATATTAAATTAGTAAATTAAACTTGGCCGATGATCGTGCGCATCGTTCACATTTACCGGATATACTCGAATCGCGGATCATTGTGTAGTAGAAGGAGCTGTTAGCAGTCAGCCAGGCGCTTATCATTGCGCCTTTAAGTAGATTCCGCTCGTCGCGTTCAGACATTCCACGGAAATGTTTTTCACAGCGAGGCCGTTTACTTTCTCGCTGATTTTCCCCACAGCCAGGATTCAGATTATCGTTAGGTAACGCGATTGGCATCGATCTGAGCGTGTGTGCGATCTGATCACGATTGCAACGTGATCGGGTGAGGTCAAGGCGCGATGCAATTAAGCTCGATCCTGAAAAAGAAAGGCAACGCGATATTTTCCCAGCCGTTGGGGATCCAAACGTGCAACGTGCAACGAGTTGTTTTCGAAATCTTGCGGCTCTACAGATAAAAGTAAAATTTTTTCACACGACTCTTCGTTTCCAACCAAAATCAAACTCGAGAATTTGTCAAGTGTACTTTGAATTTGATCAATCCACGACTGTTGGATCGACACGAGGATGTTTCATCTGAACTGAACGCTTAAAGTGTCATACTTCCTCGTCCAATGTATCTTCAAACGTGAGTTCAATATGTAGACAGATTGAGAAGGAATACAGCGCGTTTCGCACGACAAGTGTCTCTTTTGTTCGTGTTTCACGTTCGTCGGTGACTACGGATTACCACGTATCGCGAGTAGAAAGTGTCCCGCCGAGACGAGACACCGGTGTATATAACTATGCATTCCTTATGGACGTGTGTACGCGGTCTTCTCCGTCGCCGTAACTCGTTAGACACTTGTTGCATTCGCGGCGGTACGGCAGCGTAATTACGTACAGTAGATTGAGACGGCTGTGGTCAGACCCCTCTCGTGTGCGCGCGCGCGAGTGCCAGCGCTATCAGACTCTCCGGCCTCCGTCTCTCGTTTGTCGCTTTCAATTACAATCACGAATTACAGTTATTCGTGGAGGTGTTGGTAGGATAATGAGGCAGACCACGAATGTGGGTTTCTTTCTCTTTCTTGATCCTTTCGCGTCGTTCGAGAGAAGGACTCTTCGTTGCTTCGTACGTAGAAAGCGTTCGATCGTGCAGGCGAACAAGTGCGTCACTAGACTGAAGGAGAAATATGGAACGGAGACCGTAACGCAATTGCTTTTATTCACCTGCTGGTTGGAAACAGCTGTTGCCGCAATCGCGACGGTGTAATACGGATTTGCGCCGTCGTACAAATTTCCCGACGTTTTCTTTCTTCAGAGAGAGAGAGAGATGGAAATTGGCATTCGAACGTATCCTGTTCAGTCACGGAGACGTGAAAAATCGAGCATCGTTGTGCCGCGAAGGTGCGCCTTAATGCTGACTGGTTTTTCGTGTCAAGGTGCCAGAATTATCCGGATTGGACGCGTGCGTGTAAAGCTGGTTGAAGTTGACACGCATAGCGTTCTAATCGCTGTCAGGCGATAATCGTCTAATCGCGTGAATAGGAAGCTGTGTCTTGCTCACAGTAATTTCGAAATCTCTTCGACCTCGACGACGATTCGATTCAAACTTGGCTATTATTTTGTTAAAAGATATTACAAACTTTCACGTGTTCTTTCTTCGTAGAATTTCTTTCTGAATTCCTCGCGAGTTCTTTTCATTGTACGTTGGTGGTTCAGGTTTTTAAATACTTGGCGCCATAATTGCCACAGTTCTACGTAACATCTCTCTCCTTTGCAAGTACAAGTTTGGAAGATTTAGCGATTGTTAGCTAGTATTTTTAAAAACTAAAACTCTTATACTTTCGCGCGTTCTTTCTCCAAAAAATTTCTTGATTCGTCGCGAACTTCTTTCCATTGTACAATGGTTTTTAAATATTTGGTGCCGTAATCACCGCAGTGTCTTTCTCCGTTGCAAGGCACGAGCCTGGAGGATCGTTCTCAGCGAGCATAATCGATCTCTCGTGTTCGGTAAAAGCGGCCAGACTTACGTAATCGCTCGCGGCGATTCCATTCATCGATGGGTAACATCGTCTTCGCGACGAAGCACGTTCATTATCGCTGCGTGATTTCTAAAATTCACTCGAGCTTTTCCGCCTCGAGTTCGTTGAACCAGGAAGCCAGGAGGAAGGCGTGATGCTCATTTTAATTGGCGCAAACGTGTCAATTTTTGTGGGACGGCGTGTCCGCTTTTGCCGCGGTTAGAACCGGCTTCGGGATAAATGATTTC